TTCCTCCTTCAGTTGCATATGATAATCATTTTCAACTGGTTTTACCAGGGGAGTTTTATCATTTTAGTCGAATACTGTTTCCTCAATCACGCTGTCGCCACATCGCGTAGAGGATGGATTGTGGGATTTCTCTCCAATCAAACAGTCGATTGATTGTCCCGGATGGTTTTCATAATAGGCCTACTTGAATTTCCTGCTGTGTACATATAAGTAAGTTTTAAGCTTTCAATCCATAATTAGAATGAGGTAATAGTTCCAGTTAAAAGAATGTACTGTAAAATATTCGACTATTTCGACTGTATACACTGTAAAAGATAGATTCATTTGAAGATAATTTTAAAACATATTTATATAACAAACTCTAAGTGTAAACAGCGCCTTTGATATTTTTTTAATTGGCGCATATAAATGTATTATTATTATTTATTAGTCCTATATTCTTTACATACTTTTAAATAAAAAATGATAGGATTCCATAATGCATACGGGACCAACGACTTAAACGTCTCATTCGAAAGACGGTGCGCATTTTAGCCCTCCAGCAGAAACACAAGGAGAGCAGCGATGGGAATTGAACGGAGGACCTAGAGATCTCCACCAAAAACTGATTGTTTCGATTAGTCATTCATTTTCATGTTTGAAGTTAACTTATTTAAAGCTCTTGGAAAGTAATTCATATCTCAATGGTCTTTTCGTTCATTTAATCGATAGATGTGTATAAGAGACAGGTCATGTATACTTTAATTACCTTCATTGTATCTCCCATTTTTCTTTTCAACTCAAAAACGCATATTACTTATATCAAATATCATCTCTGTTTACTGCATTGGTTACTGCACATACTTAACTGTTACATTTAACTGTTACGTTTAATCCGTCCAACCAATTACGTCACAGTCAAGATGTGTATAAGAGACAGGATTTGTAAAGAACAATATAGCAATTAATACTAAACTGACAACTAAAGAAAAGGTATAATTTCGTTGCAAAATTAGAAAAGAAGCATCAAAATTTAACCATTTGCCTAATATTTATCAAACAATAATGTGGAGTACATCAACCATAAAAGTTCACTCCACGATTCTGTGCATGGGAGGATCCAGGATCTGTCGTTAGAGGGGAATACTAACAATTATTTCAGATGGTTTGAATCAACACAACCATGGAAGTAATGTACGCTCATTCTCCTGAAGTATATTAATGATATAGTGTTCTTTATATGTCCAATGCAATGAGATAATTAAAGGAAATATCCTTTTAATATCGTCATTCCTTGTAATTGTAGGCAATGTCTGTGGTGATGCACGCTACCTGGTTCAGCAATTATTTAAAAACTATACAAATTGTGTTCGACCGAGTCTTGACGAATCAACTACAACAATCGTCATGCACGAAGTAGTTCCGGCGCATATCATCGATTTTGTAAGTTTTGAAATAAAATGATTTATAAAGATTTTCAATGATTTAAACGAGGTTGAAGCAGAAAATTAGGTCGTGAAAAAGAAGTATGGATACTGCAAATTGAGGAATTATCATTTGACGAATATGAATTCATTTATTTTACAAGCCGGATGTATACTGTTCTTTACGGCAATGTATATTTTAATATCCATGGTCAAGACAAACATGTCATGAATATATTCAAATCTAACTAGCATATTTGTAATCAACACACATAAGTATTTACATTAAATCTAGTAACAAATGAAAAGATTTTTATTCTACTAAAACTACTAATAACAACGAAAGGAAAAACTAATAATATAACGTGACTGTAGGAAAGAAGCATTTATAATTTATTTATATATATTTCCATGTTTTTGTGTAAAAATAATATTTCAGTGTTATTGTACAATTACGTTACATTCTTTCTCGTGATTGTGTTGATTGTAATGATAAAAATGTCAGTTCAACGGCCGTATAAATCATTTATAACTAATCATTTCTCATACTCGAGCATTTTCTAAGTTTTCTTTATCGGCTTCTTTGATGAAATCTCTTATAATATGTATAGATTGGCTGGTAAATCTTTATATAATATATAGGGTAGAATTATTAAAGAATAGCTTTTTAAGTTAAATAATAATATTTGTGCAACATTGGAAGATGACGTTTGTACAGGGAGTTCATCTGTTGGTTTACTTCTGTACCAAAAAAGTAAAATTGATTTGAATTGAGTATATCGAGCGCCCTCATCCAAAGTGACTCATCCTTACTTGGTGGTTGTGGAATGATGCTTTATTATTATTATTATTATTATTTATTATTATTATTATTATTATTATTATTATTATTATTATTATTTATTATTATTTTCATATTATGAAATGCAAATTAACTACCCTTTCTTTTATTTTGTTACAGGATGAGATAAAGCAACAAATAACATTAAGTGTCTGGTTACGACAGGTAAATAATTAGCCTTAAGTAATTTTTATATTAATTCCAATCTATGTATTTTTTTTTCTAAATCATGAATGTTAAATGCATATAAGGCTTTAGTGTAATTTTACGTAATTGGAAAACGAGTCGAGTAAGAATTGTTCCAAAGATGTGTATAAGAGACAGACCCTCCGCTCCCCCAAAATCTCCAAAATATAAGATATAGGCCTATATATATTTCTTTCTTAATTATATAGATTTAAAGCATTTATCAATCTTATTACTACACTGTTTACATTCAACAATACAATTTTATTTTATTTCTCCATTTTGCTAAAAAAAAAAAAAAAAAAAAAACTAAATTTTATTTAAAATATTTCCGCCCTCGTCTGACAATATTATTTTTTAACAAGTTCGCTAAAAAAGGTTAAAATGTCCCTCCTTAGCAAGCCTTTTGAAAGACTAGAAGAAAAGAAAACAACAGATGCAAATAATAGATAAACCATTTCTTAACAATAAGATTTGTAAAGAACAATATAGCAATTAATACTAAACTGACAACTAAAGAAAAGGTATAATTTCGTTGCAAAATTAGAAAAGAAGCATCAAAATTTAACCATTTGCCTAATATTTATCAAACAATAATGTGGAGTACATCAACCATAAAAGTTCACTCCACGATTCTGTGCATGGGAGGATCCAGGATCTGTCGTTAGAGGGGAATACTAACAATTATTTCAGATGGTTTGAATCAACACAACCATGGAAGTAATGTACGCTCATTCTCCTGAAGTATATTAATGATATAGTGTTCTTTATATGTCCAATGCAATGAGATAATTAAAGGAAATATCCTTTTAATATCGTCATTCCTTGTAATTGTAGGCAATGTCTGTGGTGATGCACGCTACCTGGTTCAGCAATTATTTAAAAACTATACAAATTGTGTTCGACCGAGTCTTGACGAATCAACTACAACAATCGTCATGCACGAAGTAGTTCCGGCGCATATCATCGATTTTGTAAGTTTTGAAATAAAATGATTTATAAAGATTTTCAATGATTTAAACGAGGTTGAAGCAGAAAATTAGGTCGTGAAAAAGAAGTATGGATACTGCAAATTGAGGAATTATCATTTGACGAATATGAATTCATTTATTTTACAAGCCGGATGTATACTGTTCTTTACGGCAATGTATATTTTAATATCCATGGTCAAGACAAACATGTCATGAATATATTCAAATCTAACTAGCATATTTGTAATCAACACACATAAGTATTTACATTAAATCTAGTAACAAATGAAAAGATTTTTATTCTACTAAAACTACTAATAACAACGAAAGGAAAAACTAATAATATAACGTGACTGTAGGAAAGAAGCATTTATAATTTATTTATATATATTTCCATGTTTTTGTGTAAAAATAATATTTCAGTGTTATTGTACAATTACGTTACATTCTTTCTCGTGATTGTGTTGATTGTAATGATAAAAATGTCAGTTCAACGGCCGTATAAATCATTTATAACTAATCATTTCTCATACTCGAGCATTTTCTAAGTTTTCTTTATCGGCTTCTTTGATGAAATCTCTTATAATATGTATAGATTGGCTGGTAAATCTTTATATAATATATAGGGTAGAATTATTAAAGAATAGCTTTTTAAGTTAAATAATAATATTTGTGCAACATTGGAAGATGACGTTTGTACAGGGAGTTCATCTGTTGGTTTACTTCTGTACCAAAAAAGTAAAATTGATTTGAATTGAGTATATCGAGCGCCCTCATCCAAAGTGACTCATCCTTACTTGGTGGTTGTGGAATGATGCTTTATTATTATTATTATTATTATTTATTATTATTATTATTATTATTATTATTATTATTATTATTATTTATTATTATTTTCATATTATGAAATGCAAATTAACTACCCTTTCTTTTATTTTGTTACAGGATGAGATAAAGCAACAAATAACATTAAGTGTCTGGTTACGACAGGTAAATAATTAGCCTTAAGTAATTTTTATATTAATTCCAATCTATGTATTTTTTTTTCTAAATCATGAATGTTAAATGCATATAAGGTTTTAGTGTAATTTTACGTAATTGGAAAACGAGTCGAGTAAGAATTGTTCCAATGGATGGAACTCTAATAGGCTACCGTGCACATTAAAGCAGTAAACTCGTTCAAAGATAATAGCCGATAATGCGCAAACCATTTCCCACTGGAAAATGAATTATTTGTCCTTTAAAAAACAATAAAAGTCCTTAGCATTGTCTAAATTTGTGGTTGATTCTCTTATCTTTTGGCTCAAGTAAATAATACCGACATTGCGTAGTAAAGTATATGATACATAGTAATGTTCAAATGCGGTTTTTTTTTCAGAGTTTTGCAATTACAGTATTTAGAAACAAATTGATTCCTACGACTAACATAAATTTAAAACGTTCAAATTCCATTTATTTGTTAAAGTTAAATGATTCACCCTCTGGAATAGGAGAGTTTGCGTCAACGGTAAAGGCAAAACGTTTCAAACGTAATTAAATGAATAATATTGGCCTCTCATTTTAATTTCAAGAGTCGAATGCAGATGTCATACGCACTTGTTATGCAGTAGAATTAACGCTGATTTATTTTATTATAATAGAGATTCTATTCAATCAGAAACTTCATTAAAACTAATAAATGGGACAGATATAATGGAATACATCAATGGGACTAAAACCCCCATAATTTATGTTAAGGGACTATCAGATTTACATATCGGATTTAGTAAAGCTCTTGTTTGTAATTCATTGCAGGAATATAATATTTAAAGATATTCTTAATATAATCTTAATTAATACTGTACCTATTGTCGGTAAATGAGGGTACTACTAAGGGATTATAATAAAATATAATTACTTGTTATTTTTTCTCTTTCTTCATTTTCTTCAATTTAACATTTTAAGCAGACATAAGCTTATATAAACAGAAATAAAATAAGGTAGGTTTAGTGACCGAAAGGTCCGATCTGGTATGCTTATATAATCACAAAATAAGTTAGTTTCCACAAGCTCTATTGAGTCTATATTCATTTATTTTTGGTTGATTTAAGATAACTAAAGTGTTTTTGTAATTACGAAATAAGTTAGTTATCTTAAAATCGACCAAAATATTAGGAAACGCGCTTGTGACAAATAGAGGTGGAGCCGCTTTGCACTGCGTTTGCCGACCGTCGACTGTTGAATCCGTCACGATGTGCAGTCAATTGCGCCAGCCCGCGCTGAGTCTGGCCTACAACTAAAAAGTCGCACGAAGATAATACGAGTTTGCGTTTGTATTCTTTCAAATATAGTCTTGGTATGATCCATTTCTAACTTGGAATGCAAGAGACTTCAATAACATTTCTGTGATTCGAATAGCATCAACCAAATTATGGAGGCCTGATATTGTACTGTATAGCAGGTGAGTGTATTGTTTTTAAATGATGAGAATTTAAAAAAAAATTCTCATCATGCAAAAAGCCTCTGTGTAATAATGATTAAAAGGATGATCATGTTGGGCACAGGCCTACATGCACTGCTCTGGAGCCGCAGCCTACAGCCTTAATATCGGCGCTGGTTCAATCGGCACGCTCGCCTATATTTCTGGTGGTTTAACAAATCTTTTCGAGGATAAGGACTATAAACCGTAAATATTGTATTCAATTGTATCATGTGCACTTTAAAGAACCCAGTACATATTTTGAGACGAGTAGGAGGTTACACCGGTGTATTGGTCAATACATACCCGTTACCCTGTGGTTATGGATCCTGAAGTCCTTTGCAGGATGTACCTTCGGTCACTGAATCCATAAAAGGCAAACTGGCAAAATAAGCTCCCCTAGAAATGTAACTGGTCGTGCTGCAATAAACAAAGTCAGCAACATTTACTGTCACAACATATCCTCTGCAAAAGAGGCCATGGATGGATTGGGGCGAAAATCGGGTTCAGTAAGGGGAGCTGAGCTGGGGTTGGTGTTTTCTTTCGGGAAGCGCTATACCTTACTGTATGTTTCGATGCTATGGGGTAAGGCTATTAAATACCATTTTGGAGCACTTATCATATGAATGCAGTTTAAACTTATTTTTTGTTTAGTGATTATTATTTCAATTAGGGCCTAGGTGCCTATCATTTGCCCTCGAAAAAAGCGGCCTTACACAGATCCCTGTGCCTTTTATTATCATATACATTTTAAATATGAACATATACCTATACATTATATTTCAATTGAAATAGAAGATTATGATTATTTTTCTATACTTTTTCAGCGTCGATGAAGATGGAAGCAATGACCCAAATCTTCCTGCAACCGTTATGGCCAATGGCACGGTAAAATACCTCACACCTTATATATATGTTTGTTATTGCAAAGTAGACCTTACCTATTACCCATTCGACACACAGACATGTCCCCTAACGTTTGGCTCATGGGCGCACGATATACGCCAGGTTGATTTACGATCAATAAATAATAGTGCGGATTTATCTTCATTCGAAGATAATGGTGAGTGGAACATTATCAATGTGCCGGTAAAGCGAGAATCCGTCAAATATAAATGCTGCCCGGACAACTTCACAATCCTAACCTATAGCTTCTTCTTATCTCGAAAGTCGGACTTTTATGTTATCAATCTCATTTTACCATATGTTCTGATCTCATTATTGTCTATTATGGTATTTTACCTGCCACCCGAGTCGGGAGAGAAAATGAATCTTTCGATAACTGTGCTGCTGTCGTTGATTGTATTCAATCAGTTAGTGTTTGCTACAATACCTCCGGCGTCAGATGGTACCTTTCCAATCATAGGTATGTGCAAATAATATTGTTTTTATTCTTATAGTCATCAACTGTGGTATTATTAAATATTGGTGATGGTGGTATATATTATTGTTTTATATTTTGGCTTGCAGAAATACAATTTTCTTCATTCTGTATTAAATATTTTCCTTTTCCTCGTGTTTTCCCAACATATTTTTGCTATCTTTGATTACTGTATTGGTTACCATCCATGCCTACATTACTGTAAATTTAGTCCGTCATGTATACTTTAATTACCTTCATTGTATCTCCCATTTTTCTTTTCAACTCAAAAACGCATATTACTTATATCAAATATCATCTCTGTTTACTGCATTGGTTACTGCACATACTTAACTGTTACATTTAACTGTACGTTTAATCCGTCCAACCAATTACGTCACAGTCACAGCGTTCAGTTCAGCGAGCAGCAGACCTGATGCAATGTAGAAAAGAGTTGCAGCAGTTCAAAACAAAACTTAATTGTAATTGAAAATTGAAAAAGACAAGATAAACCTATTTGAATTAATTATATAATTATTAAAACACTGCAAGTAAAATCTATTAAATTTTATTTTACAGGGAAATACTTCATCGTTATGATTGGGATGGTTGCTCTTTCGGTTGCTATGTCCGTTTGGATTCTGCATGTGTACCACAAGGAGCGGAACTGTATTCGGATGCCACCTTGGATGCGACAGTTTATTTTCGGCTATCTTTCTAAACTTGTTGGCAAATGTCGCCCGAAAGCTACTCTTCCTGACTTCAGAAACGATAGCGTTAGTGAGCATTATTACAAGGAAGATACATGTAATGAACTTAAACGAACTGAGTTGATCGGTAAAAAGGTATATCTGAATGAGAGAATGACCAAAGCTAAGATTAATGACGATTCATCAGAACCCTTTCAAAACGGTGGCTTGGAAAGCCCAAAACAAAAGCGAACTTATTCGCGCAACATGGAAGAAAGCATTAACAATATATCTTCGCAGCTTGATTTTCTTGCCCAGTTGAAGCGTAGAAAAGACACTGATATGGACTCGGCACGCGAGTGGAGGGAGGCAGCTGCAGTCATTGACAGGGCCCTACTAATAATTTTTACTATTGTAAATATATTTCTACCGATCGGGTTTATTTTTGCTGCTAACAAACCATTTAAGTGACGAGTATGTGGTATGACAACATTATTATCCACATACTTCCTAACGTTATAGTTAGGTCTATGCTTTAATATTTCGCTATGACTTGCAGCTTTACCTTTCTATTAGAACAAGCTTTGCTCAAGTTTTATACGAATTATTTAAAGTAAAAAGGTATAGAAATATAATTTAGATATCTGCAGTATTTGTTGCATAACTCTCCAATTTTAAACATTTTTGTCACGATTTCTTACTGGTATAAATAGATATTTGCATAAACACCACACTTGGTAACATTTCAGCTTCCAAATGCTAGAGTCAATTCCGTATTACTCTCTCTACATTACGGCTAGGGATAATGTCATGTTCGCTAGTAGTACATTGTACATAGGTTTTTTTTTGTTTTTGTTTTTTTGTAAATAGGCCTACAATGATCAGAGTGAGTTCAGAGACCGTCCTCCTTCAGTTGCATATGATAATCATTTTCAACTGGTTTTACCAGGGGAGTTTTATCATTTTAGTCGAATACTGTTTCCTCAATCACGCTGTCGCCACATCGCGTAGAGGATGGATTGTGGGATTTCTCTCCAATCAAACAGTCGATTGATTGTCCCGGATGGTTTTCATAATAGGCCTACTTGAATTTCCTGCTGTGTACATATAAGTAAGTTTTAAGCTTTCAATTTATAATTAGAATGAGGTAATAGTTCCAGTTAAAAGAATGTACTGTAAAATATTCGACTATTTCGACTGTATACACTGTAAAAGATAGATTCATTTGAAGATAATTTTAAAACATATTTATATAACAAACTCTAAGTGTAAACAGCGCCTTTGATATTTTTTTAATTGGCGCATATAAATGTATTATTATTATTTATTAGTCCTATATTCTTTACATACTTTTAAATAAAAAATGATAGGATTCCATAATGCATACGGGACCAACGACTTAAACGTCTCATTCGAAAGACGGTGCGCATTTTAGCCCTCCAGCAGAAACACAAGGAGAGCAGCGATGGGAATTGAACGGAGGACCTAGAGATCTCCACCAAAAACTGATTGTTTCGATTAGTCATTCATTTTCATGTTTGAAGTTAACTTATTTAAAGCTCTTGGAAAGTAATTCATATCTCAATGGTCTTTTCGTTCATTTAATCGATTTTAGAGTCTACTAATATGTAGAAAATACATATAATTTTTTTTTCTCCTCGACGAATTGTGCTTTTTCTCCTCGACCGGGATGGGCGGAGGCAACTCTTCCCGACGGGGCGCGTACCCCCCCCCCCTGGCAAACCCCTGATAATATGTAAGGGGTGTGTTTCCATTGAAGGTTTTTTTTTCAAAATTTTATACCAGACAAGGTATATTTACGTGACCAATCTTCTAAGATACGGCAATTTGCCTTTATTTATAATTACATTCAGTTAGAGTGTTGTGATAGCATCAGTATAACTAATAACAAGTTTTTTAAAGTTATTATTGTATAAAATATTAAAATTATTAATAAGCTATTGTTGTTGTCTAGCAATAAACAGCCATTAATTCTAAGCAACATATCTAGAAAAATAGAAATCGGCTCATGTTATGATTCTTAAGATCATGATTGCAATTATTATTGATTATGATTGACAATGATGACGATGATGACGATCGATGATGATGATAATGATCAGGATGTCGACGATAGTGACCATGACTGCGATGAGTGACGATTATGATGACGACGATGATGAGTGATGATGTTGATGATTATGATGATGGAAATGATTATGATGGATGATGATGCTAAACTGATTATGATAATGCTGATCATTGTTATACTTTAGACAAATAAGTAGGTGTTTTTTGTGTTACAAACCTGAAACTTATAATGATGATGATTGTTATGACGATTATTATGATTAACAGTGATAAGATGACTATGATAATACCGATGATAATAATACTGACGATAATGTTAGTAATAACAATGAAGACGATAATTACGATGACGTACGTTAATGCTGAACATCACGAGTAATGATGACAGTGATGATGATTATGTTAATGATAATAATGATGATGATGATGAAGACGATATGTGCTGACACAACTTTAGCAATCACAACTCCCTTTGTAGTTAACACTTTACTTTGTTTATCAATACATAGAGTAGGTCCAAATCTGAGTCAAGTGTACATTATTAAATTATATTTTAGAGTCGATTAGGCAATTATTGTTAATGTATAAGATAATTATTGTACTTCGTATTGTATTATGTAATAGTCACAAAAAATATTTTTCGGTAAAATATCCGGCTTTTTTTAGCGCTACTTATTCAACATATTGATCTATAGATTAGGCCTATTATGTGATGTAGGTCTTGTAATTATTTGTTCATGAAGGAGTTGATTAATTCACTCTTTAGCATATTACCATACTTCGTGAGAGCAATTTAATTCTCCCACTACACACTGACGTCACACGAATTAAAAAGTATGTGTTACTTGTTTTGTTTTGGTTTGTTGTTCAATAACGGTATGTCTTGAACGAAGTATACACCAGAGTATATCAAAACAATGATAGATTTCTTAGAAACACTTCACAAAGGCAACTGTGTGGAGCCAAAAAAAAATGAATACTAAAATTCAAGATTTACTTGTTTTGTATAGGCCCATATTATGATTTATTATCTTCAAATTTGAATGAAAATTGTTTTTCGCATCTCGATTATGTGACGCAATTACATAAAAACAATTATTTCATATTTTTGTAGGCCTAACCTGGCAGTTATTTTAACGATTTAGAATAGATTCGTGTATTCTGGTCAACTTTAATAATGAATACAAGAGTGTAGACGAATCTAAGCCAGACACTTGTACACACACCGATGGTTGTCGGTCGACGCGATTCCAGTGGAGAGCGCTACGCGACGAGGCGCGCGCAACGGGTCGTTTAATGACGATCCGCGCTCGTAGTGTTTGCCTGGGTTGAGCAAGTTTGTTCACCAGTGCAATAGTCTCTTAAGTACCTTACTGTTTTAGAATGCCAAGGGTGTGCTAAGTTTTAGGCTTAATGTCAAAACATTTTATGACAATGAAATTGAATAGTTAAGAAAAAATGTCAAACAAAGTAATATATTGGTACAAAATGTAAATACAACAAATAAATGCCGGTCATTCTATAGTAACGAACACGTGTCTTTGATATCTTATCGTTTCTGGCATAGTACTGACTCCCAATAGAATTTACATTTATCTTTTAGTTCTTCCCGTAGACTCAATTTCTAGGACATTTATTCAAATGCATAGACCAACGGCCCGGAGCATAAAAACAAATGTTAACAAAATCAGATGCAATATTAATTAACATAATTATTTATTTTATAAGCCAGATATGATAAATATATTTTGAAATTTTGTCTAATAAAGTAAAATTGTCAGTTGACATTAAATTTATTTTCTGATGCGACCATCAGAGTTGAATGGCCGAGCGGTTAGCAGGGACGCCGCAAGCTATAGCCATAATATCGGCGCTGGTTCGAACGGCTCGCTCGCCTATGGTTCTGGTGGTAGAACAAGTCTTCTCGGATAAGGACTATAAACC